TGCTGGACATCATGAACAAGGCCAAGCCCAGACACCCGCGATCCCTGATAACCGAGCCTGCTGCACAAGGGTCCAAGAGAAAGGCCACGGAGGGCGAAGATGAGGGTCTTGGTCAAGCACCAGACCCGAGTCGAAGTTCTCAGCCCAATGCTGAGAAGGAAGATAAGAAGCAGCGAGTGATCGACGGGCGGAGAGCGGCACTAGGATTCCTGGAGTCAATGGAGAAGTGCATGGGAGAAATGGGAATCTGTAGGAAATGCGCGAACCTGGCCCACGACGGCGACTGCAAGGACATTGAGGAGGCTGCTGGAAATGAGAAGGCGATGAAGGTGCTCCGTGAGCTACTCAGCAGTGACCCTGTTTCATCAGATGAAGACATGGGGGATACGGAGGAGCCGTCCTCATCAACGTCCAAGGAAAGAAAGAGAGGAGGACAAGCAGGGAAAGAAACAATTGAGATGTATAGCTATACCATCAACTTGGTGGAGATGGCTGACACGGCTGAGGGAGGAGAGCTACAATGTGGTGGCGTCGACCTCACCTACAACCCGTGCGGGGACAGCAGGACGTTCAAGAAGACGCTTGAGATGGGATGCGACACCATCCCGTGCTACATCCCGAAGTTTGGCGACGTGAGTGATGTGCACTTGCCATGGGCGTATGCGTCCATCGTTGACCCCAATTACTTTCCCAAAGGTGCAATCCTTGAGCAGGTGGACGTGATGCAACTTGGCAAGAGTGTCAACTTCTGCGTCGCTCCTTTCGACGGTGCTCCACTATGCAGGATTGGTGATGATCGCTCGGTATTTACTACAAGGGACCAAGCAAACCAGCTATCACACGACCTATGCAGAGTCCTTCGACACAAGATCGGCAGCTGCCGAGGAAGTGCTTTCAGGTGCGACGAGGGTGGATGGGTCGACATTGATGCAGTCATTGACGACCGGAACAACGACATATTCCCACCATACACCACGAGAGCGAAACGATACATGGGCATCATGGAGGTGATCAAGTGGCAGGAGTCCGGAAGCAGAAAATCGAGATTCCAGGTTCTGGCAGCAAGGTTTCCGAGCATCATGAACCCGAATGACACCAGGGCGGCCAGGGAAGAAATGACCAAAGCTGGCGTGGATCGGGACGACATCGACAGGATGTTCAACAGATGCGATGGATGGTACAGACCTTGGTGCATCCGAGTCACAACCGGTCACAGTGATTTTGGATTCATGAGCTCATCCGCACTGGCGAATAGGTATTCCGCAAGAATGGGTGATTCTCTCGGAGGAGCATTCCATGTGACGTATGTGGAAAACCTGCCAAGCATCGTACGCTGTGGGTTAGTCCCCGGCGGAATCGATGGCGGCAACAGGCTAGCACTGCACTTCGGAGCGTTTGCTCCATGGGATGAGATGAACGTGGCGACGAAGACAACGCTGCGGAACGTGAAGGAGAGGGGATCCGATTGCGATCATCTACATTCCCAGTGCAACCCTCGCGCGGTATGGAGCTGGAGTCGCGGCTAATGGGACTTTCATGGTCTTTGACGTGATCCCGTTCTATGAGGTCAAGTCCATTTGGATTGGCAAAAGCAACGGAGGGAAGCGCCTGGAGTACGCTGACATCAAGAGGGCGTACTCGAAGTGTGTGGAGAACGAGATCTGCCCTGGCTTTGTCAACTCTTCCCAAGAGTCGGCTGCGATGTTCCTCCAGAACGTCGCAAAGATCAGCGAGAGGATGCCGGAGACTGAGACAGGTGCCGATAATCTGCACTACATCGTTGACATGGTTAATCGTGCCTGCGAACTCTATCGAAACAACAAGATGGAGGAGTTCAACGCACAGGTCAACGAGGTCCGGGACGAAGTCAGCAAAGTCGTCATCCTGAATGATGAGACATGGGAAGGACTGAGGTGCCGGATATGTCCATCATGTGCGACCGCGATCCCCACCTGCTTCTGCTTATGCCTGGAGTGCGAGGCACAACTGATCTCCATCGGAAGATACTACATCCACATCAACTCCGATGACGAGGAGGACAACCAAAACCCCAACGTCTCTGGAGATGCCAGGCGTGCACAGGAAGAAGCTAACCACGATGCGGCAGCACAGGAGGATGAAGACGAAGCGGAGGAAGTTCCGGGAGAAGATGACGACATGGACACGCAAGGATATACATCCGGCTATGCGTCAGAAGAAGAAGACAGCGGTTGGCATTACCGCGACACCGATCTGGCGTCACGGGACATTATAAGTTCCCAACGGATGGCGATCTGCCTTGACGAGCCGCGTGAGGCTCAGTACATGGCAGGATTTATCGCACTCCAGCTGTCCAAGATGTGGGGGATGTTTGAAGGTGGTGAGGAGAGAACGATGAATGCCGGACTCGAAGGGAGGCCGGGCTGCCCTTATCACAATGACTTCAAGAGGTACCCCAACATCACCGATCAGGATCAGGAAGGTATACTCTTACCATCAACAGCGAAGAAAATTTCTCAGTCGGAGAATGTTCGGTCGAGATCCTTCCGATCGGTTGAGGAGCGTGAAGATTATATTCGTATGATGGTGTGCAAATGCGAGGGACTTTACACATTCTACAAGCTGTGGATTGCAGCGAGAATCCTCGATGTCACCAAGGAAGAAATGAAGCTCCTGGTCAAGGACCGAGTGCACCCGGTGGGTGATATTATTTTCAGATGTTTTGCACTGGCTTTCAACTGTAAGTATATATCATTCGTGAGGGATGGCCTGAACCTTGGCAAGAATGGTTACACGGTCAACGTGAGCGCCATCATCTCGGCCATCGACCCGAACAAGTGCGACACACCCCTGCTGGATTGGTGCCTTCGGAAAGGGCACTGGTTGCCAGAGGATCACAACAAGAAGTGTGTCCGGGCACGAGAAGCCCAGAAGAACTTGGACGAGGAGTTCCGTCGACGTACCCATAGACTGTCCATTGGGGACAGGTATGCTTCGTGAAGATGCTGATTGCGGTACGATGTGGGTCAGTCCCCATCTGTTACTTGCGTCACATCGACACTATTTCGGTGGAACGACTTTATGTCATGATTTATATTCATGTGTCCAAGATGACTGGATGTGTACATGGTTACATATTCCGATGACTATGACGCTCTGGATATTCATGGATGGAACTATTACCTTATAGATGATATCTTTTCATTATTTATGCATTGTCCATGGTATCTGGAATGGCTATGATTTGCATTGATTACTCACCGATGTTTCTTTGCCGGAATATGCAGACCGATCACAAGCAGGCGCCTCTGGTGGACTTTTGTGGCCAACCCATTTATGGATGACAGCTGCGCGATGCGCAAATGCGGCAGCTGGATAGTCCGTTGGTGGTCAAATGACGTGACGATTGTGTATTGTATACACCTGCATATGGAAGTGTGCTTCGATTGATGGATGAATGTTTCACTTTTCGTACAATCGAACCCGGCATGTTTCACAGCGAATGAACGGTGTAGTGATAGCAAGTAAAAGAATGCACGACACGATTTCGTAGTTGAAGCCGTGGCCAGTGGAACGTTTTGTGGTGTTTGGACCGCATGATGAACAATGCGACCCAAATGGGGGATGTTAAAACCCTCTAGGCCCCGTGCCGAAATTGGGTAGCTGTTCTGAGGTCCTTGTTGGTGTTGCTTCCCAAGTTCCATTGATCGCCATTTGGCTCAAGACACAATTGAGGTTCAAGATCTGATGTGTGACTGCATACATACGTGATCGGCATTGAAAGCGGAAAACACTTCGCTTGCGCTGCATTTGTCAGGACCACTGTTGTAACTATCATTCCTTCTCCCTTACAACGTTTACACGGGTTCGGCTATAACGGCATCGTCCGTATACACCTTTCTACGTGGTTGGTATTACAGCTTGAGGGTTCGGTGCATAGCGTCCCACGGGACGTCACCTTGCCGTCTCTTGACACTTGCACTACTACTGTACTACCTACGAGTAGTACTATTAATTCTACTACTTGTACTACTACTAGTATTACTGCTAAAACTACTACTAGTGCTACTACTAGTACTACCACTGGTACTATTACTGGAACTAGTACTATAACTGCGAGTACTACTACTGCTAGTGCTTTCTTATTCCCGCTTTCAGTTGTTTGTTCCCCGCCCTTAGTTGCTTCCAGTTTTCCGGTCTTGGTGGCTAATATTTTCCGCTCTTGTTTGGCGCTCTTGAATAAGCAAGTCCCGTTCCCCTTTTGAAGGGAACTGCAGGGAGGTACACCTGCCATAGACGGCCGCGCATTCATTGACCCTCCCGTTGGTCAAAGTAAGAGGCTCAAAATGCTCCATGGAGAGGGCTTGCGTCCTTCCCGCTGACGGCAGAGAGGATCCCAGCATCCCGAATGTCATCTTTTTGAACGCTCAGACAAACGCAGATGGCTGTGGGCACCCAAAATGGACTTTGATAGATGGACACAGAGACTCAAACCTGCGGTTCCCTGGTGGCTTAATTTTGACCCATACCCAGATAGAGTCAAACGCACACTCATGGAGAAGGGCCCGAGATCTTGCGTGGCACGAGGCGAATGGCGTTTGGTTCCGTGAGATTGAGATGAAATGTTGTGTTGAACTGGCGCAAAAGGCAGCCAAGTATCGCAGAGCTCATTTCTTTGCAGGCCCGTATACGGGAATGAACTCAAAAAAAGGGATCCAGGCAGATGTTGTTTTTCAAGTCGACGCCAAATCACGGGCGGTACTTTCCAGCACCTGACAACGTGTCCCTCCAAGAGGCCGAGGTTGCTTGCTTGGTGGGCTGCAGATGTTGTCTTTCTAAGTGAGCCAAATCAAAGGCAAATGGGAAACCACACCACTAGACCAATCCGAAAAAAACCATTTGGAGAGAAGCTGAGTTTAAGGTCGTTTGAGTTACAAAAGCAAGGGACCAGCGCCCATGCAGAGCCCCACACTTTGTCACCCGGGACCTGACCCGAGCGCCGCTCGCTTCGGCGCGTCGAGGATGCCTTGAGCGCGGCGGAAGTGCAACGCCGAAAGGAAGGCGCCAAGGCCGGCGGGCGGAGTTTGCTCGGCGAGAGATCCGGGTGAATTATCATAGTTCAGCAGCCTGAAATATGGTGGTTGGGCCATTCCCCACATCAACCACCATTTGGGGTGAGGTCGTGTGAGGTCGTTATAGTTCATCCAGGATGCGATCGGGGGAATGAGAAATGGAGTCTAGCCTCAAGAAAAACCATGTGAACAGGAAGTAGGAGAATCCGGGGGAATGAGCCTTATAAACCATCCAACTAGTGGTTCCTTTAAGGGAATTGAGGGAATGACCCTTATAGAGCCATTCGCAACTGGTGGTTTCCCTTCATTTGGGAATCCCCAAATCTGGTTCATTCCATTTCTCATTCCCTGCTGAGCACCAGCAAGTTTCCCGTGCCCTTGGATGGATTCATGCGGCTTAAAACTTGCTATGTTCTCGGTAAGGAATGACCGTTCCGGTTTTGGGATGAACTCAGGGGTCCCCTTAAAGCCAGAACAGGTTTACAGGGGTCATTCCCTCATTCCCTGTTGAGCACTAGCAAGTAAAACAGTACTGCAGGACGCACGAAAATTGGGTGTTGTGTTTTTTGGTTTTTCTCATACTACACTTTTTGGGTGGCAAAGAGGAACAAAGGGAAACCCACCAATTGTGAGGGTCTCCTGTATCAGACAAGCCCCTTCACGTCCAATATTCATTCATGTGTACACACGCAGTTAGGCCAACCGCTTGGTCAGACATGGTTGAAAGAGCAACCTCCATAGGGCGGACCACTGGGTTCCCTTTTAGCTCCACTGGCTCCAACGTCACTGCTGCTGCTACTCACCCCCAGCCCATGATGCGTTGTTTGACAAATAATTCTAGGGGAACCCATTCTTTCCAGGCATCCGGATCTTTCTAAAAAAACCACCCAAAACCCTGAAAAGCGGATCCGGCTTGTGAAATTGACGATGGGTTGAAAAGAATGGGGAATCAGCCCCTAGAATAATCAGGACTCTTCTCGATAAGCTGGGGCTTCCTCAACAATCATCCCAAGTGTGCTTGCCAGTCTGATGTATACCCCAAGGCATTCTTAAAGCCGGGGTCCACAGGGAAAGCGGCCACCGGATTGACAGGTCTTCCCTTGGGTTTGCCCCAGTGGAGGCCCTGCATTGGGCCACATCATTGTGATTTCCTGACTTCGGGTTGCAGCCAACATGGGCCGCGTTGAATTTTGCTGGTTTTCATTTTTGGCATCCCTGTAACACCGCGAAGCATGGTTCCCTTAAACAAGACACACCCAATGAGGAGTGTTTCCCGCTTCCTTCAAAGTAGCACCAACACAAAAGGATTCGATTTGGGAGCGCAATATCTCAATACAGGTGGCCACAGCTTTGGGGGGTCCCCTAAAGCAAGACACAGCCAACAAGTCTTGGCAGGCCAAGTCGGACCTCATCATGTACGAAGAGGCGGGCTCTGGGCCATCCATTGCCCCTTAGATCGCCCTTGGCCGGGGAGCTGGGAGCTTTCGTTGTCGAAGTTCAGGGGCCTCTCACCCAGCTAGGCCCCCCAGCAGTGCCCTTTTAACCCCTTCTTCGGGGGGAGGGTTCCCCTACTAAAGTAGACAGAAAGAATATCGGGTACCCTTATTCTCACCTCTCTACTGAAGAAGCTAACCAAAATTCCACTATGGTTCCACTGTTTGGCTCCCCCGAGGAAGACTCAAACCCGGTTCTGCTTTTGGAATTGAACCACCCCTACGTTTCAGCGTCCTTGGTATTCCAAAAGTGGGGTCCCCTGCTGTCTGGACAATGCACATTTGCACGCCTTCAACGCAATGTTGCAAATGAAGCGCATTCAACTACAAACCCGTGCCGAATGCGGTGTGTGATTTCTGGGGTGTATTTTTCCCATACGTGCAAGACTAAGAACTTACCAGTGAGCTCACTGATTGGGGCTTTGTTAAGAGCCAGGGGCCGAGGATAAAGGCTCCGTAGGGATTCCCTTAGTTTTTCTCTCAGTAATATCCCTGTTCGCAAATATTGAATGCGAACCCTTGGCGAACTTAGGATGTGCGGATGAATGGTTACACAGACATGGGTACACCGGAAGCTGGTTCCACGGTTCCATTTGGGATTTGCTTGCTACCTATGCCATCTAAACATGCATAGTACGTCATACCAGAATTCAGGCAGCCCTTAGTTGGTGGTTTGGATTGGCGCAGGCTTTTGTAGAGGGTAAATGGGAAACCCCTCCTCTGGTGCATTTTGCCAAGGGATGTGAGGACTTTAACTTTTGGCCAACGAATGGGTGCATTTTGCCAAGGGATGTTAGGACTTTAACTTGTTGCCAACGAATGGTTTTTCGTTTTTCCGTATTAAACCCCTAAAAGTTAGTCACTTTTAGCAGGGCTTCGCAGAAAGCAACCGAACCTCCTTCACCACCAAACCACGAATCCAAACCACAAAGTATTTGAAGGCCTGAAGAGCGGCACGTGCGTGCAGGACCAAAGAGTCCTCAAGGAGGCGTTGGTGGTCTTGGGGCGGGTCTATGGAGAAGCAACTGCCTCTTGGCCGCGGTTGCTGTGACATTAGTTCTAGAAAACGGTTTTGGATGTGTGTGTGTGTGTGTTTTTTGTGGATTTCACCTATTCTTCATCCTGTTGGCTCTTTTTAGTAGTCTTTTAGTACTCTTTTAATATTCTACGGGGGTGAATCCACAAAAGCCACACATCCAAACCGTTTTCTTGACTAAGGCCGTTGTTCCTAAGACCTTGGGAGATTTTGGGTATGTCTTGCAATTGGGCGTCCACCAAAAGGGTGTTTTTTTTGGGTGTTCCATTAACGAAACTCAAAAATGGTATCCTCAACCAGACAAACCCATGTGAGGATCAATGTAGATTCTTAAGGAAAGGGAAGCCATCAAAGCGCGGGCAGATGAAGCTAGGGGACAACCCCAAGAGAACTTCTTTACATGTTACGCTCCTACAATGAACAAGCCCAAAAGACCGTCCGTTTGAGAGGAACCTCCTTTTGTAGGACCCTTTATGTTAGTCCGTAGGGGAGGTTACTATATCTTGCCAGGTTTTCTTACTCAGACCAAACAACCAAAAGCGCCAGGGAAGGCAGCAACTCGGGAAGACATTGTGTATGTGTGTGTGTGTGCGCTTGTGTGTGTGTGCTTGCGTTTGTGTGTCGGTTCTTGTTGTTTGAAAGGCAAGGTCGCCCCTTCTTGTGTTGTGTGGGTGGCAAGTTCCTGTTTGTCAACAGGGGTCCTTTTCGGCTCAGACAAAGATCGAATGTTGGTCCAAGTTTGCTTTGGTGGTTGTCTCTTTTTGTTTGGGGGTGGGGAGAAAGATGTTTAAAAGGGACATGACGTGCGGAACCCTGTTCAATTTGCCTGCCAAACAGGGGCTAAAAAAAGGTTGCAGCCCCTCAATCAGCCCCGGAGGTTTGCCCTGCGCATCTCTTAGGTCAAAGCGGACCAGACGGGGTACAAGGCAAAAGCCAAAGGCCGGAGGGGGGGGGGGGGAAGGGAAGGCGCTATGGGCCCAGAGTCTGGGAACATTGGAATGGCCCTGTCCATGCCTGTCTTATTGTTTTCCCCGATGCTGGGAGAGGGGATCGTCTGAGCATTACATGGGCTTGTCTCAAAATAGGGGAACCCCCAAAATGACAGGTTGCCGTTTGGATTCCCCTGGAAAACCAAGCAAAAGCCCCCTCCCCTAAAAAACCAGAGGTGCATTTTGCTTGGATGTCAGGACTTTAACTTTTTGCCAACTAATGGTTTTCCATTAAACCCCTAAAAGTTAGTCACTTTTAGCAGGGCTTCGCAGAAAGCAACCGAGAAAAAAACACGACACCTCACATGACTGTGCAGAAGGGGCCAGAAGCTGAAGGCGCCGCTTCTGGAAATGGGCAGTGCCTTTCTAGTGGAAGCGTCCAGGGGAAGAAACCGGCCAACACCGGGCGGGGCAATCGGCTTTTTGGGGGCGTTGGGCAGTCACACCTGTGACACCACTGGGAAGTTTGTGCCTGTTTGTTTTTTTTGTGTGTGTGTGTATTTTTTTATAATTTCCCAGGAGCTGAAAGCTATGGGGTCGGTGGGCCCAGATAGGCTCTGCCACTAGGGAGCCGCTTTCCTTTTGGCCCCCTTCAACCCCCACCCCCCCACCCCAAAGGAATAAACTAAAAACCAGACCATGGGTCTGGTTTTTAGTTTATTCCTTTGGGGGGGTGGTGGGGTGGGGTGGGGGGCTGAAGGGGTCACAAGGTGACCCGACTTCCGACTTCCGACTTCCAGGCTCCGGCGTGGTGGGGCTCCTGCAGGTGTCCATGGACAACTTCGCCCAGCTGGCGGAGGAGCAAACCCGCACGTTTTGCCGCCGAAGGGAGGTACTGTGGATGGACGAAATCCTGCACCACTTTGAAGCCATGGGAAACCATGTGTTCGTTGGTATTGACAGGGGAATCATCATTCTCGGACTTCCTAGGTGGTGCAGGATTTCGTCCATCCACAGTATGGGGGGGGCCCATAGAGGTTCCGCCATGAGTTGAATGTACCCCGGCCTGAAACCATCGGAACATTTGAGGTCGTTTCATGCCCACCGCTGTTGTTTTTTTAAGGTTTGCTAAATATGGCTGTGGGTCAAAATTACACCAGGGGACCGCAGATTTTAGTCCTTGGTTCCAATACCCCAGCATTCCATTTTGCACCTTTTGGCACCCAAATATGGACCAAATCCAGAATCTGAGGTGGCCGCTGTCCAGTCAGCAAAGATGAAAACACATGAAGGAATGTGGACCTCCGCCTGGCGGCTCTTTTAGGATGCCGGGTGACAGAGAGCCCAAGGTTTCTTGTGCTTTTGTGCTGTCAATAGACATATATATATATATACATGTACATACATATATATATATATGTATATATATATATATGGTACCCCCCCCAGTACCCAGGTGTTGTTGCATCACGTATCAAAACCATTGATATTTACAGTGTATTTTGATTGAACTCATGCATTCTCTGCAAGGCCATTTTGTGGAGCAAAAAAAGCAAAACACCAAACAACCAAAAAACCAAAAAAAACCCAAAAAAAACAACAATCCTAGCCCCCACCATGGTCCAGGGAAATGTTGCGCAACAAATTCCAAATGTTGCGCAACATGTGCGGAGCATGAGAGGATATGTGAACCTTTGTGAAAGAAGACATGTTCTGGGTGAGAGTATATGTGAATTTTCTGTAGAGAAGAGTTATTGAAAAGACATGTTTTGTGAGATGATATGTAGGTCTTTGTGGAAGAGTCAGGGTTACAGTGATTCATAAAAGTACAGCAAAAGACAGTAAATATCATGTAAAACCACCATTTATGTAACACAAACTGTCCCAGCCATAACCTGGCTTTATTCTACACAGGGTTCACTTTCCTTGGCAACTCTTTCACATATGCTGCCTTTGTTTCATTGAAAGAAAACATGTAAAAAGACATGTGTTGGGTGAGAGGATGTGAATTTTCGGTGGAAGAGTCTTTGAAACAAGGCATGGTTTGAGTGGGAAGATATGTGAATTATCTGTGGAAGAGCCTTTGAAAGAAGGCATTTGCGGAGCATGAGAGGATATGTGATTCCTTGTGAAAGAAGGCATGCAAAAAGACATGTTTTGGGTAAGAAGATGAAACAATTGGAAGAGTTATTTAAAAGACAGGCTTTGTGTGAGATGATATGTGAATATTCTGTGGAAGAGTCTTTGAAAGAATGCATGGTTTGTGTGGGAAGATACGTGAGCTTTCTGTGGAAGAGCCTTTGAAAAATGGCATGTTTTGGTGAGAGGATATGTGAACCTTTGTGAAAGAAGACATGTTCTGGGTGAGAGTATATGTGAATTTTCTGTAGAGAAGAGTGATTGAAAAAGACATGTTTTGTGTGAGATGATATGTGGGTCTTTGTGGAAGAGTCAGGGTTACAGTGATTCATAAAAGTACAGCAAAAGACAGTAAATAGCATGTAAAACCACCATTTATGTAACACAAACTGTCCCAGCCATAACCTGGCTTTATTCTACACAGGGTTCACTTTCCTTGGCAACTCTTTCACATATGCTGCCTTTGTTTCATTGAAAGAAAACATGTAAAAAGACATGTGTTGGGTGAGAGGATGTGTGAATTTTCTGTGCAAGAGTCATTGAAACAAGGCATGGTTTGTGTGGGAAGATATGTGAGTTATTTGTGGAAGAGCCTTTGAAAGAAGGCATGGTTTGCGTGGGAAAATATGTGAATTGAATTTTGTGTGGAAGAGCCATTGAAAAAGGGCATGGGTCATGTCCAAGGCGTCTTTCTTCAATGAGGCAAACCTCCTTCCTCTGGTCTTCCAGTGTGCAAATCTGAGCTGTTCTTCCTGCCTGCTTCCGCGGTCAAAGCACATCTGAACCAAGCCCAAACCTGGGTATTTGGGGGCATATATATATATATGTACATACATATATATATATATACATATGTATACGCATATATATATATATAGTATGTATACGTTTGCGGCACGTCGGGCTCGTAACTATTCCCGGGTTTTTCGGTGCCTTGGGTTCCGCAATCTCGAGGTTCAGGGAGCCCACGGCCTATGGTCTATTTGGGAGGAACATGACAACTGAGCGCTGGATTTCCCCGCAAAAAAAAACAGGAGACTATTTGTCCCCATTGTTTTGGGATGGATTTGTCCCCACCGTTAAGAACGTGACACTGAACTTCCCCGCAAACACCAAGGGATGAGCGCGATCCCCATGCCCTCTTGGTATGCAAGTAATTTTGGCCATCGCTACTCTCAGCTCCCAAAACGATCCTCCCGCCGTCAATCGAATCGCCAGAGTTGCTCGCTTTGTGCAGGAAACGAGCCAAGCTGAGAAGCAAGCATCCAGCGATTTCCAGGACGAGTTGGCTGTCTTTTTCTGACCATGTGACGTGTGGCGTCATGCTGTTCGGGTGGGTGCGGCCGCAAGGGAGGAGCTGCGAGCCTTGTTGAGCAAGTGTCTCTGAGTGTGTGTGTGTGTGTGTGTTTCTGCTCGCATGTGCGCACGCCTCTCAATAACCTCAGGTTCCGTACTCTGTTGTGCCTCGACAAAAGGACACTGGCAGTTTTGCTTTATTGAAAGCCGTCGCATTTGTAGGCATGCTATGTATAGCATTGTTCGAATACAGGAGGCTTAGGCAATCCTATGTCTCTTTGGGTTGAGGGAAGTGGACAGGCTGGTATGAATCAGGATGGCTCAAGGGTTCTTTGGCATGCATTGGTTTTTTGATAGTTGGTCGCCATCTTACCAGCGTGCTGAGCAAACGTGGCGCAGAGCAGCGCATGGTTGCCTCATGCTGTTTTCAGAGCAAATTCTGGGCTGGTACATTTGCAAAAGGGGGTATGTTTCGCCGGAAAACATCACACATCTCCATGCGATAAGACTGGGAGCAATTCACTTTCAATGGTGTTTTGCTTTTGATGTCGGTTCAAGCCATCCAAAAAAGGAGATGGAGTTTTGATCCACCGGCCTGGGGAGCGCTCGATTTGGTCCCAAAATAGTGTGGTCGAAGTCGCCTGGTGCGCAGCGCTGGTCAATAAGACCAAACAGCTGGGAGCAAGCACCGGCTATCTAGGCAGAAGATTGATCCTTGCTTTTGATTTTTGTTTGTGAGCCAAGTTAGTGACCGTCTTCCAGGTTTTGGAATGGCCCTGTTGAACGCACTGACCACTTGTTCCATAACTGACCTTCTGGACGAATTGCAGCGGAGCTCACCAAGTAGGAACCAGCAGCAACCACGCTTAAAGTCCTTTACTCGTTCCGCAACGCCGTTGGGCGACATAGTTAGCATCAGCTTGCCGACCTCTCTACTGTAGAGCTACTCGAGAACAATGTGGATGTGTCTTTTTTTGGGAGTTGGTACCCCTTTTGGGTTGGATTTAAATTATAGGGAAACTAAAAGGACAACTACCTTTTCGGCGGTCCGAGTCCTCAAAAGAACGGTCATTCCAACTCATGCCCTGCCTGTCGAACCAGCAAATGTTCCAAAGCGGGCGCGAGACCGGAACACAGGCACTTTTCTCTAGAAAACAGTTTGGATGTGTTTTTTGTGGAACCACCCCTGCAGGATGGGGCAAGACTACTAAAAAAGAACCTGCAGGGGGAAGAACAGGTGAAATCCGCCAAAAAAAAAAAAAAACGCTGCCCAAAAGCGCATCCGCAAAAATCCGCAGAAGCGCGTGGAACCAAAATATGTTTGACATCAAAGAGTAGTAAATCAGAACCAGCAGCGCATCCAAACCGTTTTCCAGATCTTGGCGAGGAGATGAAGTCCACTTCGGAGGTGCGACTCGCAACCTTCGAGAAGGAGCTCAACCGAAGTCTCATTGCCGCAGAAGTCTTTGGGGTGGTTTTTTTGTTTAGGGGACCCCCTTTTGCTTTCTTTGTTGTCCGGCGGATTCCGTTTTTTTTTCAATGTTTTTTGAGAAGGGTTCCCCTTTAAACTCAAGCAACAAAAACATGATGCCCTTTTTTTCCCGTGGCCACTGGGCATCTGAGGGATTTCAAGGGAAGTCAAAGGAATCCCCAGCCATTTTGGGGGGACCCTATTTTAAAACAAACTCATTTGGGTGTGGCTCAAACTTAAACAGCTAGGGTTACGCAGATTTTAGTCTTTGGTTCCATTTGAATTGCCAAGGGTGCGGTTTTGGTACATGTTTTTGAGCCACAGCCATTTGGTTGTTGGCCGTGCTTTTTTTCTACCTCGCATTGCGGTTGGTGGACATGAATCCCCACCGAATTTTGATGTCCACCAAATGGTCGCATCCATATGCCTGTTCATAGCTTCTCGAGGCCCAGCCCTTTCAGGATCTCATTTCACCATTTTCCCGTGTCCTCTTGGGTTGGAACGAAAGTGCTGCAGATTGTCCACCCAAAGTCCGAAACTCCTTCGGTATTTCACCATTGCCAGCCCATGGGAAATAGCCACAGCCACGTTTGGCCCTGGAGCTCTAAACTATTTTGTGGAAAAACGCCGATTTCAGTGACTCCAGAAAAGAGCAGGCAGGCACCGCAGTTGTCACCAAGTTTCCAGGCAAGGAACAATGTGGTGGTGCACAACACATGGCAAACATAAAGCCGCTGTGGGGCCTCCTTCTGAAACATGCTCTGGCACCAAATCCAGCAGAGACTGAAACTGATTTGGAATTGCCAGATTGCTCTTAATCAACTGGGTAACTCCTTTCTAGAATTCAACAATGCCAACTTGTGCTTTAAAGGGAAAGCAAGCAGATGGGGAGACCAAGGGACAAAGCCAACCATTTCAAGGATTTCCTTATGGGTATGGGTCAAAATAAAGCCACCAGGGGACCGCAGGTTTTAGTCTTTGGTTCCATTACCAGGGCAACCCATTCTGGGTACGCATTTTTGACCCACAGCCTTATCAGGGTTTTGCTTCAGCTATTGTCCCACCAGAAAAGTTCCTTTGGAGGACGTGGAGTACAAGAGCCAGACGCTCACCAAGATGGAGTCTGAGCTGGTTCGAGCGAACTCCGACCTGGACAGCTACCAGAAGGAGGTCAAGGACTGTTCCGGAGCCTCAATTCGACCTTTTGACCTGTTGCTGCTTCCTGGTTTGGTCTACTTTTCTAGGGGCTGATTCCAACCATTCTTTTCAACCATCGTTCTTTTCAAAACCAGACCAGCTGCTTTTGCCGGGTTTCCCGAGGTTTTCTAGAAAGATCAGGATCCCTGGAAAGAATGGGGAAGGCAGCCGTAGAACTTCCGGTCAAAGTCCCAAGAAGTGAACCCCTGTTATCTCCATCTTTGGGCAAGTGAGGTAGAGAATCCCAGTTGTTCAATGGCACCCTTGTTCGGCTTACTGAAAATGGTCAGCCCAAAAAGGGGTCCCTTTTTCTACCAGGGTCACTGAGCAACTGGGGAATGCTCACGCCTTGAGTTCGAAAAGACCAACGGTGTGACTTGTTTGGCCAATTCACGAGGAGTCCACCTCGGGGTTTTGAAGGAAGCCAGAAAATGGCTGGGAAAAATCGGGGTCAGTCCCTCATTCTTTCTGAGAACCAGCATGAACAAGCAGATCTTGTTTTGAGCCGCTTTGAGCATCGGTCCTAAACCTGCACATTGGAACTGAAAGACTCAACCGGCTCAAAAATATGGTCTGTTGGGGAAGCGTGAATGGAAAGGACAAAGTACTGTCTGGAAATCTCTTAAACTTTGAGCACCCATTTGGGTGTGGCTCAAAATTAAACAGGAGGGGTTACGCAGGTTTTGGCCTTTGTTTCCACTTACCAGGGTTCCATTTTGGAATTCCGGTTTTTTGAGCCACAGCCATTTGAAGATAAGTTTGCTTGTGATGTGGAGACACGCCCCGTGACCGTCGAGGGTTTGGACCCGACTTGCAAGCTGTGGGGTGTCATGTCAGGATGGTCAGCTTTGACAAGTCCACCACAAAAAAGCCATGAGAGCCACCGCGCAATCGTTCGCATGAAAGTCACCCGTGCGGATGCCTTTCTTTGGGTGTCTAATTGCAAGTGATCTAAGGGGGTTTCTGAGGTAGGTTAGTTTGCTTAGAAATGTCTTTGGCATTGGTTTAGGTTTCTTGGTGTTCCTTCTACGATTCCAGGAAAAACCCATCGTTTTTTTCCCAAAGGTCATCCACCCCGCTGGTTTGGTTGAACACGGACGGACTGGTTTCGGTCAAATTGATGAGTCGTTTACCCGACAGGTGAATGAAATGGGGATCCACCAGAATGGTGCAGGCACTCCCTGAGTTCCTGGACTGTAGTCATGGGTTTGGACCATTTTAGTGATAAACAACAGGTTCCAAGACTTTGCTCAGCCCATCCACTAGCTCGGATTTAGAGACTTCCGGGGGTTCCGGGCCCCTGAAGCCCTGAATTTGTGGGTTTCCCCCTGATTCACTGATTCTTGTAAAGGGTAGATGGGTGTAGCGAATTCAAAAAACCGGAATTCCAAGATGGGTTGCCCTGGTAAGTGGAAACATGGGTACCAAACCTGCGGAACCCGCCCCTCCTGTTTAATTTTGAGCCACACCCAGATAGGAAACCCCCGAATTACCCTCCAAGCACCAAGCCACCAACGAAGGGGGAAGCTGAGAAGTTGTTGTTTTCCAGACTGAAACCCAGCACCAGGCACTGTCCAAGTATTTGGAAGAGCTGGAAGTCTCCTGCTCGGTACGATCCTGCATGCTTGTTTTTGTTTTTTTTTTTGGGGGGGGGGGTTGGCCGGGCGCATGAGAACCCATCCGAAAAGGCTCCCCCCCACCACCAATCAAAAAACCAACCAGAAAGAAAAAAGGACAAGGAAGAATTTGGGCTCTTGAGTATTGTTCTGTTTTGTATGGAGTAAAGTCCGAAGCTTGATTGTGCATAGTCCTAAAACTACCACTTGCTGGGGGCGACTTGCCATTTGGTTGTTGGCTTCCTTGCAAGTATCACTCAAAAGGGGATTCCCCAAACGCCAACCAAAGCGTGTTGTCTTCTTCCATCTACGTAAGGTGTTTGTCATTTTCCTTTGTTGTTTTCAAAAAGCAACATGAAAAATTAAGGCATTCTGATATTTGGGGCACCAGAATCGGCCAAAGGATCTTTCAACCATGGCCCCATTGACACCATTCCGTGCGACCCACTGGATGTGCGCACAGGTTGTGGACTTCCTTGCCCCTTTCTTAGCCCAGAACTTGGCTTTGGGGGGGTGACCCCAGTTCTTCAGCGACACCATGTTTCCTTTTTGGTGCATTCGCCGCTAAAGAAGTGCAAACCACCCAGAAAAGGTTCCGATTTTGCTTCTAGGGTCGCAGTTTCTTTGTGCGCGCCTAGAATCACGCTCTCACACACACACACACCAAAAAAGAACAAACAAACGAAAACATACACACAAACAGACAGACACAGACACAGACACAGACACAGACACAGACACAGACACAGACACAGACAGAGAGACAGACAGACAGACAGAGACAGCCAGACAGACAGAGACAGAGAGACAGACAGACAGACAGACAGACAGACAGACAGACAGACAGACAGACAGACAGAGACAGACAGACAGACAGACAGACAGACAGACAGACAGACAGAGACAGACAGACAGACAGACAGACAGACAGACAGACAGACAGACAGACAGACAGAGACACACAGACAGACAGACAGACAGACAGACAGACAGACAGACAGACAGACAGACAGACAGACAGACAGACAGACAGACAGACAGACAGACAGACAGACAGACAGACAGACAGACAGACAGACAGACAGACAGACAGACAGACAGACAGACAGACAGACAGACAGACAGACAGACAGACAGACAGACAGACAGACAGACAGACAGACAGACAGACAGAGACAGACAGACAGACAGACAGACAGACAGACAGACAGACAGACAGACAGACAGACAGACAGACAGACAGACAGACAGACAGACAGACAGACAGACAGACAGACAGACCAGACAGACCAGACAGACAGACCAGACAGACCAGACAGACCAGACAGACCAGACAGACCAGACAGACCAGACAGACCAGACAGACCAGACAGACCAGACAGACCAGACAGACCAGACAGACAGACCAGACAGACCAGACAGACCAGACAGACCAGACAGACCAGACAGACCAGACAGACCAGACAGACCAGACAGACCAGACAGACCAGACAGACCAGACAGACCAGACAGACCAGACAGACCAGACAGACCAGATCACACACGGAGAAGCACCTGCACAGATGCACCCAAAGACACCCCCTTGACAACTGAAGTGGGACAAACTGGTCTGCTTGCTTGTTTGTCGTTGTCCTTTTTTCTTTTGTTCTGGGAGAGGGGAGGGGGGGAGGGGGGGGGGAGGGAAGAGCACTTTCATGACCGCAACGCCCCGTCTATCTTAGATGATGGGTTGCACAGTGGATGGACAAATTCCTGCATCAGTTGGTGTGTGGTTTATCCCAGTTGTCATAGACTTTCATCCAACTGTTGCGAAGAGTATTGTTCTCCATCCAACTAGGGTGTCTGCTACCTAGGGTTCTTTCTGACTAGGGTAACAAAACTTGCTGGTGCGATAGGAAGGGAATGACCGTTCCGGGTGTTGGGAATGAACCGCCTGGGCATGCCCTTTTGCTTTTTTCGGGTTCATTCCCTTTCAGATTCCCTGCCTATCGGATCAGGTTCAATAAATCTATGGGCGCAACTGCCGGCGGAACTGTTTTTCCTTTTTCCCCCAACAGCTGAGAGCTATGGATCTGATCTCTGCCGCAGATTTCAGGGCAGGCTCAAAAGAGATTCGGTTCCAGAGGCTTCCGCTGGGGATACCACCTGCTTCCAGTGGCTTCCCTTAGTAAAAGGAATTTAGCACTACTGGAAAAATGGAAAACTGGACATATATTTGTTTTTTCCAGGAGGCTTAAGCCAATGAATGAAGGCTAGTGGGAATCCGGATCACTTTTGTTGACAGGTAAGCCAGAAACGGCTGTGGGTCAAAACCCATGGGATCCCATTTTGGGGCAGGTGCACCACCCATTTTAGTCCATTTTAGTGGGGATTGGGATGTTCACTGGGAGTGCGGGATTTTGACCCATGGCCAAATAGGCTTGTTTGTTTTTTTCTCCATCAGGCACCAAATGGAAGTTTCTTTGGCCAGGTGAAGGGCCTGAGCTTCGAAGAGCGGCAGCTGAAGCGGGAGCAACAGCTGGCGTCCCTGAAGGAGGCGCGGTCACACGAAAACGCGAGCCGATGGGAGCCCAGCCCATGCTGCGGATGGGTGCGAAGTTGTTTTTTTTCCGCGCCAGTTGGGAGTGCTGAAACCGGAGAATCTCAGAACCCCCCTGCGAATTGCGGGGTAATATGGGTTAGCCACTCACTAAGTGCGAAATGGATTTTGTGGTCCACAGTAGGTGGCCTGTTGATCGGTCAGTTTGGGTTGAGGGGCCGAATTTTACACTCTTTCACGTTTACTTGGAACAACAAATCTGGTGACACAAAGGTCCAGGAACCCTCAAAAAGTAATTTGTGAGGGTAAAGCCTACCACAGACTATATGGACCGTGCATATTTCTTGTATTTTTCGCCCAACAGGGTTTGGTGCCAGGATCCAATCTACAATTGGATAGTTTGTCAACAAGGGATTGGTGCCAGGGTCTCTACCAGCGCACTCCTGCAGATCAACATGGAACCCACCTCGGGAGGAACAAAAGCTCCCGTTTCAAAACGTGTGATGTGGAAACCCACCACTGGAAATATGTCCAGACTGGCCAAAACAAACTGCCTTCTCACGCTTGTCCGAAGCGAGCGGACTCGTTGATCCTTTAGCGATGGCCAAGAAACATCCCCTACTCTACCAGGTTAACTGACCCAAGGTCAACATGTTCATCCAACGATTTGACAGACATCAATACTGATGAAAACAAGACAAACCCTAACGGTCCAAGGCTATACGGGAAGCAATGTGTCAAATATCATTTGGAGGTACTGTCTGGGACCCTTTGGGCGTGATTGAGACACATATAAGGTACTAGGTGGCTACCCTAAAAGTTGCACATGCACCAGAATAAGCCAACCACAAACCAAGGTTGAATTGACGTTGGGTTTGTACTAGGTTCCCTACTTGCAATATTTAGGGCATCCTGGTTTTCCTCGGTTCCAGGTTCTTGGTTCCTGGGTTTCCTTGGTTTCCTTGCAATATTTCGGGCATCCGTATAACACCCCCAGATTTCTGTTTTGGCGCTCAACCCTCGCCATCCAGGCGCTGCGGTCTCTCAACCAGGAAGGCTGAGGCGCCGGGTGGGCAGTGCTGGGCGGCTCCGGAAGCCGGGTATTGACAGAACAACCTGGTTTTTTCCGCATTTCCGCTTTGGAAAACCTGGGCGTTTGGCCTGATGCCTGGTTTTCCCGCGTTTCGGGTTCGGAAAAACTGGGCGGAAATCACTCAGAGTCTCCACTATTGCGGGCTTCCTCGCCATATGAGCCTGGCGGAGTACTTTGGCCATGTCCGACTAGAGACCCTCCCTTTTGTTGGTCGGACAGAAGCCCATTGGTACCATGCCCCTTCCATTCGCGCTTGAGAACATCTTGTTTATGTTCCCCGGTTGGCTTTGAAGATAATGAATCTATCACTACTGGACACATATGTTGATTTTCTTCCAGGGGATGTATTTCGGGGTTAAGAACAAGCCGGTGGGAGTTTGGATGTTCGGGTACACCTTTGTGCCGCCCTGCGGCCGGTTTGTGGCACCTTGTGTGAGGGGTATTTTAAGCCAGGTCAAAAGCACCTGGAAGGCCTCCGGGGGTGTGCTCTTGAAGTTGGCTTGGATAGTAGATGGGCTCCACTGGTTTGGATGCTGTTCACTCGCGTCGCCTCGCAAGTTGCATGCGCCAGCCAACTTACAGCGCAGCTTCGGTCTGCTTTGAGGGGGAAAACAAAAACCCTTTGGGCAGGGGGTGTTTGATTTTAAAGGGAGACTAAAAGGAAGACCAAGGCCTTTTGGGGGGGGCCAACCTCTAAAGCAAAAAGCGCACACCCAATTTTGCTTTGGGAAAAACCCGCGTAGCCAGGTGAGAACTCCAGCCGCGTGGGTTGAAAACGGCAACTCCGGCAGCTGCGCCTTTCGCAATGGGTGAGTGACCCATGTTTTGGGGAAGGCGGATATGGGTTACACTGAAAAGCGACACCAACCGAAAATCGCCAAAACATGGCCCGTATTACACCTCGCCTTGGGAAGCCTGGTTGTAGCGGCTGTCCTTTTTTCTTTCAGTCAATAACTTGCCACCTCAGGCCTTTTTTGGTACAAATCCCTGGCGCACTCCTTCCGCCCCAAAGACCTCCGAACTCCGGTGGGCCATGTCCGCCATCAACGAGATCCAGCAGAAGCTCATAACGCAGCTGGACATGAAGCTGGAGGACTTGAAGCCGGAGCAGGTGGCACGGCTGGTGGCCGCCGGGGTGTTGACGGAGAGGGAAGCGGCTTTGGTGCAGATCCGGCTGGAGACCGCCAAGCCCATGCAGGCGCCGGAGCTTCGGGAGGTGACGGACCATGGATACGCCCCCACCCTGCTGCAAGGCTTCTCCGGCACCGCGCCCACGCTGCAGACGGGGAAGGACACCAATGCGGGCGTCATGAAGCTGGCGCAGGTGGATTGGCAGCAAGTCTTCGCAAACTGCAACCTGACCTACGGGAGGATCACCAGCAGTAGCGCCTTCGGCTGCTCGTCGAAGCCACTCTTCAAGGAGCCGACAGGTGCCGACATCAAGCAGGCCTTCCGACCTGCGCAGGTCAGTGAGCAGGAGCTTGCCGTGGTGCTCTTCAGCGACAAGTTCAAGGCGCACTCAGAGCTCTGCAGCGCGCAAGCCTACCAGGAGGTGTGCACACCTCTTGCGGCAGCTGCTGCAGAGTACAAGTCCGCCAGTCACCAGGAGCAGCGAGAAGTGGGCACCCAGTACTCTGTCGTCCACAAGTATCAGGTACCAGCGGGAAGCTTCAAGATCGACACAGAGCACCTCGAGCTAAATCCCGGCTTCGTGAAGAGCGTGGAGGACGCCCTGAGCGCCGCAGGCAACTGCTTGCCGGAGGAGCTGAGCAAGTTCTTCGAGGACCGCATCTTCAGCACCTACGGGGACGTCTACCCCACTGAGGTGATGATCGGGGTGGCCGCCTTCTCCACCGAGGTCAAGAACGTCACCAAGCAGGAGAGCAAGAAGCAGGCCGCGGACTCCGCGCATGTGGCGGCCAGCGGCATTGGCCAGGGCGTTGCGGGCAAGGGGGACGTGGCGGCGGGCACCGAAACGGCCAGCGCGGAAGGCGCCCATGCCGTGAACGAGAGCCGAAGCTGGACCAGCATCGGGGCGGCCATCAGCGACGGCAAGAACCCCAGGTCCATCACCTCGTGCAGGGAGGACTCAAGCGCATGGCGCTGCATCCAGTACCTTGGTGGCTCCCAGCCATCCCCTTAGCTTTTTAGCCTTTTAAGTGTTTCGTGGTACTTTCCATTTAACCCACTAAAAATTAAACTTTTAGCGGGGGATCTGAGGGCAGCCCAGGTACGAGAAAGTGGCCAGTGTCTTCGACTTCCTCCCCAAGAACCTCCTGGCGCGCGTCCGGGAGTTGGAGCAGAAGCTGGAGTCTCAGAAGAAGCAAAGCCCGGCGCTGCCGCCCAGCGAAGACCTGGAGCGGCGCAGGCTGGCGGTGGCGGCAGTGATCAAGGGCCTTGAGCGCTTGGACCGCTGGCAGCACACGATGTATCAGAGGAACGAGGCGCAGAGGCTTCTGGCGGAGGTGCATATCCGCCAGAAGCGCCTTGAGACCGGGGAGAGCCTCCTGGACGGCGCCGAGCACAAGCAGATCAAGTGGCTCGTGGGCCTCTACTCTGGTTTCATTTGGAACGTGGACGACAACAAGACCAGTGCTGCGGCCCAGCGCTCGGCGGACGTCCTGGCAAATGGGCGCTAGGAGATGCACGTGCCGGGATTGGCCAATTTTTGTTACGGACCGTGCCAATGATGCCAATGCATCGAAATTCGGGCGATCTCGCCTTCATTCCTCAAGGCTTCGAGACACGGCGCGGGACCAGATTTTGGAATTTCTCACGCAAGAGCTGTGCAGAACTTAGTTTTCCACTCGCACGGCAGGCTCCGGGCCATACAGGAATTTCCAGCGTTCCGGGGGCCTGCTGGGCAGACATGTCGGCATTGTACAGGACAGGCATAGAAAATCCGTGCGCCCTTGCTGGTGATTCGCCAGAGCAAGGATGATCCTTTGCGGGTAGGGACTTGAAGACATCTCAGTCTGTCACACGCACTAACACACTCAGGATTAAAATGTTTCCATTCTGCCGACTGGCATAGAGTTCCGGAACGAGCAAAGACACAAGTGCGAGTCCTCTTCTCAAGGTGGTTGTTGCTTAATGGGCATATTAAAGCCCGAGAAAGATAGGCTCGCAACGGCATGCTATCACATAGCTTTGGTGTTTTAACATGACACAGATATCTTGCAAGTTTATTGAAGCACTTAGAGCCACCTATTGCTAGATGTTGCCTGCATATAGTAAGTTGTGAAGTACTCAGCAGTGAGCTAGCAAACCGAATAGCTCTAACAAGTTGTTAACTAAAAGCCAAAGTAGTTCTGACAAGATCTGACGGAGCTGCGCTGGGTTGAGGCCAAATTCATAGCAAACAAGTGTTTCTTGAAAGCATGAAGCAAGGGTCATCATGCATAGTGGTGCGACACATAGACACGCAAATAGACACACACAGGTGTGTACCTATTTCTGTAAATGGGGGCCGCCCGGAATTGCATGTCTAAAACTTATGGACAGCGGCAACTTTTTGAACCGCGCGATTGGGAAAACTCGAGCCGCGAAAGGCCGGCGATTGGACCGCGAAAGGGCAACGAAATGATTGTGTGAACGGTGTTTAGACTGTGGTGCCGACGCACGTCTCGCTCATTTTGACTGCTCTGGCTCGCACAAAAGTTCCTCCTGGAAAGCTGAATGTTGATTTTGTTTGCGCAGGCCCAGGCTGTGCTTTCCAAATCTGCTTACTGGCAAAGGCTGGAAGCTGCAAACCCAAGTTTCACCGCCGAATTCCGCAATTGGACCGCGAGCTTCACCAGCGAGGCCTTGCCCATCCGATATGTCATTTCCTTCCAGTTTCCAAGGTATGGATGGAGGAAGGCCAGCGCTTGCAGATGTGAATGTGCCAGGAATGCTCTCCTAGGTACAAAGTGCCCCCACCTAGTGGCGAGAGCGATGTCTTGCAGGGCATCATGACGGGCACGGTTTCCTTGATCCCTGCCCAGTCAGCAAACGAACCAGACAATTTTCCGCTTTTCGTTGGAGTTTCGTCTGAATGTCTTGGTCTCAGCCGCGCATGTTGCATGTTACCATCGCAGCTGCGAGCGACCAAAGCAGCCTGCCCTTAGCCACGAAAGCCATGGAGATTCCAAGAGCCATGCGGCTGCTGCTCTGCAGTCTGGTGGTGGCGTGCGCGCAGAACCTGAAGGGCAGCGAGGTGGCAAAGACGGATGCGGCCACTGAAGCAGTTCCAGAGCAGATCTCATTGTCGGAGCACTCCAAGTTGCATCCACCAACTTCCGGACAAGCGATTGTGGCCTTCGGATTGATCCTCCTCATCCCGGCCGCAGGCCTAGTCATCATGAAGAGGGGCAAGGACGGCGGCTGGGAAGGTGCATTTGGCATGATCTGCTGCCTCATTACGGGCCTTTGGGTCTACACGGCAGTGCTCGCCTTTATGTGAACCAGCTATAGATTGATGATGAAAAGAAGAGAACAAAAAAACGCATGCTTGCATCTGATAGGTTGTTCAAGAGTGAGGCAGGTTTGCTTAGCAGGCTTGGGCTTTGCTGTTGCCAGCTGCCTGGTTGACAAATGGTTTGCCAGGATCATACAGATCTTTCAGCATGCTGGGCAAATGAGTAGCAGTAGCCGCACAAAGAGGGTTGCGACATCACCTGTGTGAAGGTTTCTTTGCAAAGGATCTCTGAGTTTTGATTGGTGACGTATGATCATTTGCCAGACTGCGTTCTGGTTGACGGGTTCTGGTTCACTGGCATGATGATCGGAGTTTTGGCCCGGACTTGTGATAGGCAGATCCTGCCACGAAAGCCATGGAGATTCCAAGAGCCATGCGACTGCTGCTCTGCAGTCTGGTGGTGGCGTGCGCGCAGAACCTGAAGGGCAGCGAGGTGGCAAAGACGGATGCGGCCACTGAAGCAGTTCCAGAGCAGATCTCATTGTCGGAGCACTCCAAGTTGCATCCACCAACTTCCGGACAAGCGATTGTGGCCTTCGGATTGATCCTCCTCATCCCGGTCGCAGGCCTAGTCATCATGAAGAGGGGCAAGGACGGCGGCTGGGAAGGTGCATTTGGCATGATCTGCTGCCTCATTACGGGCCTTTGGGTCTACACGGCAGTGCTCGCCTTTATGTGAGTGTTCACACAACGCAGTGAACTGAAGTGAGCGAAGGTCAACCCAGATGTCATTGTTGTATGTTTGAACATGTCGGTTGTTATACACACTTGTCTCTCCCAATTCTTTGAGTCTCTTCATACCGTACCATGATTTGAGAAATACTTTGCGATCAAATTAATCATATTTTAGTGCCTCCGGCTCAGGCCGCCGACAGTACAGGCCTGCTTTCTTATTTGCGTCCCTTTGGAATTATCCCCTTGCCCCCTTCCCCTCTGAGATTTTTGCCCCCCCTTTCTTTGTTGAGATCCATTCCCCCTTTCCGCCCTAAGGCCTTTTCTCCCTCTGATGTTTCCCTTTTCCTCCCTAAGATGTTTTCCCCCCTCTCCCTGTTGAGATCCTTTCCCCCCTTTCCCCCCTAAGGCCTTTTCCCCCCTGAGATCTTCTCCCTTTTCCTCCCTTTCCCCCACTTCCCCCCCTACGGCCTTTTCCTCCCTGGGATCTTTTTCCTTTCCTCCCTGAGATCTTTCCCCCCCTTTCCCTGTTGAGATCCTTTCCCCCCTTTCCCCCCTCCGGCCTTTCCCCCCGCTGAGATCTTCTCCCTATTCCTCCTTAAGGGAAAGGGGGGAAAAGATCTTTGGGAGGAAAATGGAAATCTTTCTCGGGGGGAACAGGCCCTAAGGGGCAATGGGGGGACAGGATCTCAAACGGGAAAGGGGGAAAAAGACTTTGGGAAGAGAAGGGTGGAGATCTTGGGGGGGAAAAGGCCTTAGGGGGGAAACGGGGGAAAGGATCTTAAGCGGGAAAGGGGGGAAAAGATCTTAGGGAGGCAAAGGGAGACAAACTCAGGGAAAAGGACTTAGGGAGGAAAGGGGGGGAAAGATCTTTGGGAGGAAAAGGGAGAAGAACTGAGGGTGGGAAAAGGCCTTAGAAGGAAAAGGGGGGAAACAAATGATCTCAACAGGGAGCTGGGGGGGGGGGGAAGATCTTAGGGAGGAAAGGCAAAAGGGGGAAAGGCCTTGGGAGGGAAAGGGGGGAAAGGATCTCAACATGGAAAGGGTGGGAAAGATTTAGGAAGGAAAAGGGAAGCTCTCAGGGGGGGGAAAGGCCTTAGGGGGGAAAGGGGGAAAAGGATCTCAGCAGGGAAAGGGGGGGGGGGAAAAGATCTTAGGGAGGAAAGGGAGAAGATCTGGGGACAAAGGCCTTAGGGGGGCAAAGGGGAGAAATGATCTCAACAGGGCTTTGCCTCCTTTCCCCGTTGAGATCCTTTCCCTTCTTCCCTTTAAGGCTTTCCAGATCCTTTCCCTTTTCCTTCCTAAGATTGTTTCCCCCCTTTCCCTGTTGAGATCCTTCCCACCCTTTCCCGCCTAAGGCCTTTCCCCCCTGAGAGCTTCTAGATCTTTCCCCCCTTTCCCTGTTGGCCTTTTTTCCCCCAGATCTTCTCCCTTTTCCTTCCTTAGATCTTTCCCCCCTTTCCCTGTTGGCCTTTTTTCCCCCAGATCTTCTCCCTTTCCTCCCTAAGATCTTTTTCACCCCTTCCCTGTTGAGATCATTTCTCCCCTTCCCCTCTAAGGCCTTTGTCCCCAGATCTTCTCCCTTTCCTCCCTAAGATCTTTCCCCGCCCCCTTTCCCTGCTGAGATCCTTTTCCACCTTTCCCCCCTAAGGCCTTTCCCCCCCCTGAGAGCTTCTCCCTTTTCCTTCCGAAGATCTTTTCCCACCTTTCCCTGTTGGGCTTTCCCCCCTAAGTCCTTTTCTCCCAAATCTTCTCCCTTTCCTCCCTAAGATCTTCCCCCCCCTTTCCTCCCTAAGATCTTTCCCACCCTTTCCCTGTTGAGATCCTTTCCCCCCTTTCCCGCCCAAGGCCTTTCCCCCCCCCGAGAGCTTCTCCCTTTTCCTTCCTAAGATCTTTTCCCCCCTTTCCCTGTTGGGCTTTCCCCCCTAAGTCCTTTTCTCCCAGATCTTCTCCCTCCTCCCTAAGATCTTCCCCCCCCTTTCCTTCCTAAGATTGTTTCCCCCCTTTCCCTGTTGAGATCCTTCCCACCCTTTCCCCCCTGAGGCCTTTCCCCCCCTGAGAGCTTCTCCTTCCGTAGGTCTTTCCCCCCTGTCCCTGTTGGCCTTTTTTCCCCCAGATCTTCTCCCTTTCCTCCCTGAGATCTTTTCCACCCCTTTCCCTGTTGAGATCATTTCTCCCCTTTCCCCCCTAAGGCCTTTGCCCCCAGATCTTCTCCCTTTCCTCCCTAAGATCTTTCCCCCCCCTTTCCCTGCTCAGATCCTTTCCCCCCTTTCCCCCCTAAGGCCTTTCCCCCCCTGAGATCTTCTCCCTTTTCCTCCCTAAGATCTTTTGCCATTTTTCCCTGTTGAGATCCATTCCTCCTTTCCACCCTATTTCTCCCTCTGAGTTTTCCCTTTTCCTCCCTACGATGTTTTCCCCCCTTTCCCTGTTGAGATCCTTTCCCTCCTTTCCCCCCTAAGGCCTTTTTTCCCCCCGCGATCTTCCCCCTTTTCCTTCCTAGGATCTTTTCCCACCTTTCCTTGTTGAGATCCTTTCCCGCCCTTTCCCCCCTAAGGCGTTTTCCCCCCCAAGGTCTTCTCCCTTTTCCTCCCTAAGATCCTTTGCTTGCTTTCCCTGTTGAGATCCTTTCCCCCCTTTCCCCCCTAAGGCCTTTCCCCCCCTGAGATCTTCTCCCTTGTCCTCCCCAAGATCTTTTCCCTTGGTTGAGATCCTTTCCCCCTTTCCCCCCGAGATCTTCTCCCTTTTCCTCCCTAGTTTGCCCCCTTTCCCTGTTGAGATCCTTTCCCCCTTTCCCCCCTAAGGCCTTTTCCCTGCCTGGCTTTCCTCACTGAGACTTTCCCTGTTGAGATCCTTTCCCCCCTTCCCTGTAAGGCCTTTCCAGATCTTCTCCCTTTTCCTTCTTGGGGAGGACAAGGGGGAAGATCTCAGGGGGGGAAAGGCCTTAGGGGGGAAAGAGGGGAAAGGACCTCAACAGGGAAAGGGGGCAAAGGATCTTAGGGAGGAAAAGGGAGAAGATCTTGGGGGGGAAAACGCCTTAGGGGGGAAAGGGCGGGAAAGGATCTCAACAAGGAAAGGGGGGAAAAGATCTTAGGAAGGAAAAGGGGGAAGATCGCGGGGGGAAAAAAGGCCTTAGGGGGGAAAGGAGGGAAAGGATCTCAACAGGGAGAGGGGGGAAAACATCGTAGGGAGGAAAAGGGAAAAACTCAGAGGGAGAAAGGGCCTTAGGGGGGAAAGGGGGAATGAGGGGCGGAAAAGATCTTAGGGAGGAAAGGGAGAAGATCTGGGGGAAAAAAGGCCAACAGGGAAAGGGGGGAAAGATCTAGAAGCTCTCAGGGGGGAAAGGCCTTAGGCGGGAAAGGGTGGGAAGGATCTCAACAGGGAAAGGGGGGAAACAATCTTAGGAAGGAAAAGGGAAAGGATCTGGAAAGGCCTTAAAGGGAAGAAGGGAAAGGATCTCAACGGGGAAAGGAGGCAAAGGGAATAGGGAGAAGATCCCAGCGGGGGGAAAGGCCTTAGGAAGGAAAGGAGGGAAAGGATCTCAACAGGGAAAGGGGGGAAAGATCTCAGTGAGGAAAGGGAGAAGATCCCAGGCAGGGAAAAGGCCTTAGGGGGGAAAGGGGGAAAGGATCTCAACAGGGAAAGGGGGCAAAGGATCTTCGGGAGGAAAAGGGAGAAGATCTGAAAAGGCCTTAGGGGGAAAAGGGGGAAAGGAGCTCAACAGGGAAAGGTGGGAGAAGATCCTAGGGAGGAAAAGGGAGAAGATCTTGGGGGGAAAGGGGGAAAGGATCTCAACCAAGGGAAAAGATCTTGGGGAGGACAAGGGAGAAGATCTCAGGGGGGGAAAGGCCTTAGGGGGGAAAGGGGGGAAAGGATCTCAACAGGGAAAGGGGGCAAAGGATCTTAGGGAGGAAAAGGGAGAAGATCTTGGGGGGGAAAACGCCTTAGGGGGGAAAGGGCGGGAAAGGATCTCAACAAGGAAAGGGGGGAAAAGATCTTATAAAGGAAAAGGGGGAAGATCGCGGGGGGGAAAAAGGCCTTAGGGGGGAAAGGAGGGAAAGAATCTCAACAGGGAGAGGGGGGAAAACATCGTAGGGAGGAAAAGGGAAAAACTCAGAGGGAGAAAGGGCCTTAGGGGGGAAAGGGGGAATGGATCTCAACAGGGAAAGGTGGCAAAAGATCTTAGGGAGGAAAAGGGAGAAGATCTCAGGGCGGGAAAGGCCTTAGGGGGGAAAGGGGGGAAAGGATCTGAGCAGGGAAAGGGGGGGAAAGATCTTAGGGAGGAAAGGGAGAAGATCTGGGGGCAATGGCCGTAGAGGGGAAAGGGGAGAAATGATCTCAACAGGGAAAGGGGTGGAAAGATCTTAGGGAGGAAAGGGAGAAGATCTGAGAGAAAAAGGCCAACAGGGAAAGGGGGGAAACAATCTTAGGAAGGAAAAGGGAGAAGATCTGGAGAGGCCTTAAAGGGAAGGGGGGAAAGGATCTCAACACCCTTAAGGCATTTTTTCCACAGATCTGGGGGAAAGGGTGGGAAAGATCTTAGGGAGGAAAGGGGGGGGAAGATCTTAGGGAGGAAAGGGAGAAGATTTAGGAGAAAAGGACTTAGGGGGGAAAAGATCTTCGGAAGGAAAAGGGAGAACCTCTCAGGGGGGGAAAGGCCTTAAGGGGGAAAGGGGGAAAAGGATCTCAGCAGGGAAGGGGGGGGGGGGAAAGATCTTAGGGAGGAAAGGGAGAAGATCTGGGGACAAAGGCCTTAGAGGGGAAGGGGAGAAATGATCTCAACAGGGAAGGGGTGGAAAAGATCTTAGGGAGGAAAGGGAGAAGATCTGGGGGAAAAAAGGCCAACAGGGAAAGGGGGGAAAGATCTAAGGAAGGAAAAGGGAGAAGCTCTCAGGGGGGAAAGGCCTTAGGCGGGAAAGGGTGGGAAGGATCTCAACAGGGAAAGGGGGGAAACAATCTTAGGAAGGAAAAGGGAAAAGATCTGGAAAGGCCTTAAAGGGAAGAAGGGAAAGGATCTCAACGGGGAAAGGAGGCAAAGGATCTTAAGGAGGAATAGGGAGAAGATCTCAGCGGGGGGAAAGGCCTTAGGAAGGAAAGGAGGGAAAGGATCTCAACAGGGAAAGGGGGGGAAAGATCTCAGTG